CCCCACCTAGACGTAAGCGTCAGAGTTGGTCACTAGGCGGGGACTGGAGGCATGCAGCACTTGTCTGAAATGAGGGTCATGAACTCCCATCTAGCTGTTCAGGCCCCCCAACAGGGCGTCTCAGCAAAGCTCAGCCCAGAGATGCCCTGTTGGTATGCTTCTGAGTGAGGTAAAGATGGAGGAGTGTACATTATGTGAATAGAACACCGCTTCAAGAACCTACAGGACTCACCCCCATTCTACAACATGCGACTCGTAGTCCCAATACTCCCGGGGTCTGTGTGTGTTCACATCCGTGTAGACACGGGCCCGGCTTGGCACAGGTCCCGACATGGCGGTCTGGTTGGCGGCCAAAGATGGACAGCAACTTTACAAGTCCAGTACAAGCAGATGGATAAGGGAGGAGAGTTGCTGTAAAACAAAACAGAGCAAAAAACAATTAGATGTCAAGAAACTCCCGATACCTAGTCCTCCCCCCCCCCCCCCCGACACCTAGCCCTCCCCCCTCCCCCCCCCCCCCCCGACACCTAGCCCCCCCCCCCCCCCCCCCCGACACCTAGCCCTCCCCCCCCCCCCCCGATACATAGCCCTCCCCCCCGACACATAGCCCTCCCCCCCGATACCTAGCCCTCCCCCCCGACACCTAGCCCTCCCCCCCCCCCGACACCTAGCCCTCCCCCCCCCCCGACACCTAGCCCTCCCCCCCGACACCTAGCCCTCCCCCCCCCCCGACACCTAGCCCTCCCCCCCCCCCCCGACACCTAGCCCTCCGACACCTAGCCCTCCACCCCCCCCCCCCGACACCTAGCCCTCCCCCCCCCCCGACCCTAGCCCTCCCCCCCCCCGACACCTAGTCCTCCCCCCCGATACATAGCCCTCCCCCCCGATACATAGTCCTCCCCCCCGATACATAGTCCTCCCCCCCGATACACCGATACATAGTCCTCCCCCCCGATACCTAGTCCTCCCCCCGATACCTAGTCCTCCCCCCGATACCTAGTCCTCCCCCCGATACCTAGTCCTCCCCCCCGATACCTAGTCCTCCCCCCGATACCTAGTCCTCCCCCCGATACCTAGTCCTCCCCCCGATACCTAGCCCTCCCCCCGATACCTAGCCCTCCCCCCCGATACCTAGCCCTCCCCCCGATACCTAGCCCTCCCCCCGATACCTAGCCCCCCCCGATACCTAGCCCTCCCCCCGACACCTAGCCCTCCCCCCCGACACCTAGCCCCCCCCCGACACCTAGCCCCTCCCCCGACACCTAGCCCTCCCCCCGACACCTAGCCCTCCCCCCCCGACACCTAGCCCTCCCCCCGACACCTAGCCCTCCCCCCGACACCTAGCCCCCCCCCGACACCTAGCCCTCCCCCGATACCTAGCCCTCCCCCGATACCTAGCCCTCCACCGATACCTAGCCCTCCCCCGATACCTAGCCCTCCCCCCGATACCTAGTCCCAACAAGCACTACCTACATATTTATAAGTGCACCCAACGCCGATCGACTTTGGAAGACTCCTTAGTGAGTAGGGGCATTGTGAGGCGTAAGGCACCACACCGTAAACCTGTCTTTTGAAATACTGAAATTATGTTTTACAGAACTCTGCATAATGCTGTGCGTTGCCACAAGCTGCTCTGCGTAATAAAGCATACATGCAGCATTCTTATGCAGTGCACACGTATGGTGTGAACTGGGATGCAGATCAACACAACTCAGCGGACATGGCGTGAACGAGCCCTTAGAGGGCCAGCTACAGTTCAGCTTACACAGGATTTATATAGCGCAGCACTTTATAATATAAAAGGAGGCCGTATCGTTACCATACGCCATGACTAGGGGGGCCTGCTCATAGAAGCTGACAATCTAACAGAATAAGAGCTTACAGTATTATTTTAATAGTAAATTAACCATGAGGATTGTAAGATATTAACCACTTTCAGATCACCCTATAGCAGATGTACTGCTACAGGGCGCTACACGCGATTCTTCATTTCCGGGTAAGGGACATGTGCGTGCGCACACCACCCTACCGGCACCGTTAATGGAGATGTCAATCACCAGGTGCAGACCAGCAACTGATGGCTGGGACTCTGATCAGCGGAGCAGCTGACAGGGAAGAGATCTGACTATAACCACCACAGATCTCTCTCCTGTCAGTGGGGACGTGTCGCTTTCTCTCTGCAAAGGAGAGCGATAGAAAGCAGCAGATCCCCTAGTAAAACAGTCTACAGCTATACTCCTTCACACACATTCCCAGAAGTCCGGCTCATCAATGGAGGGTGCTGCAGCAACTACCAGCTGGGACTGGAAACATTAGCAAACTTACATATTCACCAACACACCACGAATCTCCAACATGGTCCAAAAAAAGTTTTTATTACAGAAAGAACACATCACAAAAGAAATTGGAACGTTTCGAAGCCGCAGAGGGCCCCTTCGTCAGTTATGTGATAAGTAGTAAAACAGCACGCAGTAGGAACCGTACACAGCTAACCCTTGGATTGCTCCAGAGGTTAACCCTTCCCCCTTGCTTTTTAATAGCACTGATTAGTGTCACTGGAGAAGTCAGTGGCAGTTAGTGTCACAATGCCTGCCGCAGTCCCGCTATAGGTCGACGATCACGCAAATTACGAATATAGAAAAAAAAAAAATTCCAGTATATATACAGCCATTTATAGAAGCTATAACTTCCATGCAAACCATTATACACCATTGGGATTTTTTTTTTTTTTTTTTTTTTTAAACCAAAGCAGAAAACATTTTGGCTTAAATTTCTAAAGAAATTTTATTTTTTATGGGGTATGTTTTACAAAAAAAAGTAAACACTTTTTTTCATTTATAATGCAAAAAAAAAAAAAAAAAAAAAAAAAAAAAAAAAAAATCAACCCAGTAATCCTTAACCTCCCTGGCGGTATTGATTCTTTCCGATTTTTTGTGCTGAAAGCGGTACCATTTTTTTGCATGGAAATATGTAGTTTTTTATTGTAGGCTGTAATTTTTAGGAATAACTCACTGAAATCTGTCGGAACAAGAGTCTAGTAAACATCCCGGGGAGGATAAAATTTGAAACACGAAATCATAAATTATAATTTAATAAATAATCATAAAAAAATAATATAATAATAAATTGTAATTCAATAATATAATCAAACCAAAAACACTGAAATTTGAAATACAGAGGCAAATTCGCACATCGCTGAGCAAAGTCGCAAAATCGTTTTCAGTGTCTGATGATGAATTTCCCCCACGAATCATTATCTCTCAATTCTGCAAGTGGTTCTGCTTTACTATCGCTGTTCTAAAACCGCTTTTGGCGTAAAGGGACGCTTTTTGGACGCCATGGACTCTTCTAAGTTTCCAGGCAGAAAGAACATTCAAAATGCAGGCAGGGCGCCGGACAAAGCAGTGGGGACAAAATGTATGTGAAATGCATTGAAATAGCAATGACAGCAAAAATTACATTTTTTAAAAAATTCTAATTTCCCGCCGGTTCCGGCGCCCGTACGTCCCAGGGACCGGAACACAGAAGCCGGATGCCGGCATCCGCCGCAGGAGATGGCCGGGGACGCTGGAGGGGACAGATCGCGGGAGCGAAGGACAAGGTAAGTGCTGCAGGGACCCCCAGAGAACGCCGCATGGTAAGCCTGAGTGTAGCTCGGGGTTACCGCTTTTGGTATAGAAATTTTACCTCGAGCTACACTCGGGAAACGGGAACCGCTAAGGAGGTTAAACACCAAAAGAAAGCTCGGTACTTGTCTGTTAATTCACCGGATATATATATATATTTTATTTAATTATTTAATATATATATATATATATATATATATATATATATATATATATATATATAAATAAAAATACGGTGAATTAACAGACAAGTACCGAAAGCTCTATTTGTGTTAAAAAAAAAAAAAAAAATTTGTGTACAGTGTTGCATGACTGCACAATTGTCAGTTAAAGTAGCGCAGTGCCGTATAGCAAAAAGTAGCCTGGTCATGAAGGGGATAAATCTTTCAGGTCAAGTGATTAGTGTAACCACCAAGGATGACCCTCAATGCAGTTCTGAAAGGAAGCTTACACAGGAAACAGCGAGAAGGGTCAGAATCTGTCCTGATAGTTGCTCTCCGAGAACATCCTAAACACATACACAGTGTCAGGGATCACAGACACGGAGAAAAGGGAATATATTGCCATCGGAGACCCAGATAGCACTGAACCAACAGGCCCCGAACACAACACATTTCCAGGTTCCTGGGTGGGCAAAACCGTATCAGACTGAGAACCATAGAACCTCACAATATACCTTCTCTCTGCACATCTGCCCACCCAGAAAGGTTTCTAATCATGAAGTTGGACTCGAATAATAGCCACCCAGACGTAGACATCTTTGGTCCAAGGTTTAAAAATTTTCAATGGAAACCAGCAGGTCTAAGTGAAATCCACATTCTCACACCAAGACGGCACCCAAGCAGGATAAGCAGCAGTTAAATATCCTTCTCTGATCTACACTCAGGTCTCAACGTAAATACATGTGGCACCATAGGAAAGGTCCAACAAGTGTGGAAATTCTGCTCCAGCCTTTAATAAAAGGATGCCATGTAAAGCAAGTGGAACACAGTGACCTAGCAAAAATTCCGCCTCAAGTTCCCCAGACCACCCAGCTGCACGAACCCAAAAAAAAAAAAAAAAAAAAAAAAAAAAAAAAAGGAGCAGCACATGGTTTATGGCTCTGTTCACACCACACAGGTATGGGGGAGCGCCCCACGTATAGGGCAGTCCATACATCCCTGAACCTTTTGCAAAACTGTAATCCACAGAAAAGCGCATATTTGCAGAAGTGTGGGGGTGCTACCAAAAATGACGTCGAGGGTCTGTAAAAGGGACATCACAAAGTGTGAACAGAAAACTGCGCTGTAACCAACAGCAACCAGAGCTTTCAAGGATTATCCAATAAGGCAAAAGCACAAAAAATTCAACTGTCTTCGTTAAAGTGTTACTAAACCTCGGACCCCGCAGTCATTCTATCCGGTTTGCCCTGGACCCCGCAGTCACTCTATCCGGTCTCCCGGACCCCGCATTCACTATATCCGCCCTACCCCCGGACCCTGCATTCACTGTATCCGCTCTCCCTGGACCCCGCATTCACTATATCCGCTCTCCCCGGACCCTGCATTCACTGTATCCGCCCTCCCCCCGGACCCCGCATTCACTATATCCGCCCTCCCCCCAGACCCCGCATTCACTATATCCGCCCTCCCCCCGGACCCCGCATTCACTACATCCTCTCTCCCTGGACCCTGCATTCACTATATCGCTCTCCCCCCACACCCTGCATTCACTATATCCGCTCTCCCTGGACCCCGCATTCACTATATCTGCTCTCCCCGGACCCCGCATTCACTGTATTCGCTCTCCCCGGACCCCGCATTCACTATATCCTCCCTCTCCCCAGACCCCGCATTCACTATATCCGCCCTCCCCCCAGACCCCGCATTCACTATATCCGCCCTCCCCCCAGACCCCGCATTCACTATATCCGCCTCCCCCCAGACCCCGCATTCACTATATCTGCCCTCCCCCCATACCCCGCATTCACTACATCCTCTCTCCCCGGACCCTGCATTCACTATATCCGGTCTCCCCGGACCCCACATTTACTATATCCGCTCTCCCGGACCCTGCATTCATTATATCCGCTCTCCCCGGACCCTGCATTCACTATATCCGCTCTCCCCGGACCCTGCATTCACTATATCCGCTCTCCCCGGACCCTGCATTCACTATATCCGCTCTCCCGGACCCCGCATTCACTATATCCGCTCTCCCCGGACCCTGCATTCACTATATCCGCTCTCCCCTGACCCCGCATTCACTATATCCGCTCTACCAGAGTACAAAACATGGAAATGCAGCTATTTTAGTAAATATAAACTGCTAAATACCTTTTCTCATTAGCAGTCTTGTGACTTCTATCAGTGTCCAGTAGAGCACTGGTTAATGCTTGTAGGAGTTTTCACTTTGCTCTAGGAGGATGCAGGACCCCGCAACCCTCTGGACAGAGCTGATCACGTGCACTCTCCCAAGAACAAAAAACCTCTATCCATACACACCAAACTGAGCATTTGCAGAGTGACTCCACACAATATGTTATCGGGACATAAGAGGGAGACACTGGAAGAAGTGGATGATCAGAGAAGAGAGGATCAAAGAGCTTTTTTTATACAATGTAAAGGATTAACCCCTTAGGTTCCACAGTGAGTATAACAAGCATGCTTTACTGCATCTACAGACTGATTGTACTGTTGTGGGTTTAGTAACACTTTAAATAAATGTAAAAATGTTTGTCTACTCTGGGTTGCCATCCTTAGTATATATTTTCACCCTGTTCAGCTGCTCTGAGCAAACTCCAAAGATAGCCAAGTAGTAAAGGAGATAGTGGTACTACGGAGCCAATCAGGCAATCATGGTTCCATGCCGAGCTTTCCTGAAGTTTCTGCTAACTCCCGCTTTCTACTTCTTAGATCACCAATCATACACACAAGACCGAGCTGGTTGAATTTGTTTTTTCTTTTGTATGTGGATGCTCCACGAGCTGGATTATACATCACCCAACTACCACCAACGCGTTTTGGCCTTGTCCCTCGGGCACAGATTCCTCCAAAGTCTACAAATGTTTTGATATGTTCTGTAGATGAGACATTTAATATCTTTGAAATTTCATTTTGAGGAACATTATTCCAAAATTGTTCAATTTTTAGATGTAGCTTTTCAGACTGGTGAACCTCTGCCCATCTTTACTTCTGAGACGCTGACTCTCTAAGATGCTCTTTATACTCATTCATGTTACTGGCCCGTTGCCAATTAACCCAATTTTAAAAATGTTCTTCCAGTTCGTTTCCTTTATTCCTTAATATCCTTTATTACAGGTACTTCTATAGCACCATCAATTTACGCGGCACTTTACACATATATATTTTTACATTCATGCAGCGGTGAACACATACGAAGATCATGCCCACATATGTAAAATGGTGTTCGCACCACATGTGAGGTATCACCACGAACGTCATATTGAGAGGAATAATTCTACCTCTAAAATGGTAACCTGTAAATTTTTACAGCGTTGCCTATGGAGATCTTTAAGTACTGTAGTTTGGCACCATTTTTCCATCCGTGTTCAAGTTTAGAGCACGACACATTAGGTATCCGTTTTACTCGGCCTATCAGTCATATTTTACAAAAAAATTGGGTTTCTATAGTGGGTTTTTTATTGTGGGTTTTTTAACGGTTTAAAAAAGTTTTTTTTAAAAAATTGTGTTTGAAAAACCGCTATGCAAATACTGTTACATAAAGAAACTAATTATTATTATTATACAGGATTTATATATTATTATTATACAGGATTTATGGCGCCAACATTATTATACAGGCTTTACAATATAAAGGGAGATTATACAGGAACAATATAGTTATTATACAGGAGGGGATATAGCGCCAACCCTGATGCTGGGAGCTTTACAATCTAAGAGGGAGGGGCTAGTGGACAATACAGGTTCAATAACTGTGGGGGATGGGGTTAGGAGGGCCCTGATCCTGGGGAGCTTACAATCTAGGAGATGCTATTATTATACAGGATTTATGGCGCCAACAGTTTGCTCAGCGCTTTACAATATAAAGGGAGACAATACAGCAACAATACAGTTCAATACATGACTACCATTTTATTCTCTAGGGCCTCTGCTAAAAAAAAATATATACATATTTGGGAGTTCTAAGTAATTTTCTAGCAAACAATTTATGATTTTTACACGTATGCAGAGAAATGCCAGAATTGGCCTGGGGTGGATTGGTCCATTTTCTCAATTTTTTAAAAAAAAAAAAAAAAAGAAGGAAGGAAGGTTTTGAGATTTTTCACATCATCATTGCATTCTGTTTTTATGCTGATTGCACACAGAATTGGGGTTGTGCAACACACACAGCAGAAATAGGCCAACTTACCCCACAGCTATTTCCTCCTGTACCACTATCCAGGGTGGATAAAAATCAATGATAAAAAAAAAAAAAAAAAAAAAAAAAAAAAAAAAAATCAGATTTTTTAAATTTAAATCAGATTTTTTTTTAAATAAAATGCTTTTTGAGGAAAATATATTACCATCCAAAGGTTATTCCATCATGAAATAAAGATTCGTTTTTTTAATTATGTAGAATAAGTCTGTATATGTTTAATTGTTTTGGTAAATAAATCCCATGAATCCATTCACAATGTCAGGCTCTTCCAGAGGTTTCTGTAAGATTATTGGGCAGTTTCTCTGCCTACAAGATATTATCACAGATGATTGGTTTACTTTGCAGTTCTCAAAACTGAATTTGACTCAGCGGAGATCACAGGCCTCTTCACAGCAAAAATGTTATAACATGAACAGAGTTAAGAAAAAGACCTTCATCCTAACTTCTACACACCTATGAATACAGAATCAACCCCTTCAGTGCTAAGGTTCAAGAAGTTCAGTGAATAGAATAGAAACAATATTTTTCTGATTGTTTGGAGTGGAATAGATCTGCACAAGAAGAAAGTGAAGCTAAGTGCGAGGAGGGATGGGGGCCGGAGGAGGGAGGGGCCGACAGTGCGAGGAGGGAGGGGCCGACAGTGCGAGGAGGGAGGGGCCGACAGTGCGAGGAGGGAGGGGCCGACAGTCTAAGTTTCTGAAAATATATATATTCTGTTTAGCCAAATTAGTTACCAAACATGGATGTTTAAGAAGATAACAGATGCTGGAATGTTATTATTTCACTTGAATAAATCTATTTAAATTGTTATTATTAAGGAAATGATTATTTTTCTCCTTCCTAATTACAACAGAAAAGTTGTCCAAATATATGAATAATGAATGATTAACCTATTAAACTGGGGATAAAAAAACTAATATGAAAAGTTGTTCTAAAAATCTTCATCTACTTGTATATTAAAGTTATACCAGCAAGAATTAGTCTTTATGTAGAAAACTAGGATTTACATCATGATCTAAATTGTGATTTAAATCAAATCCACCCTGCCACTAGCCCCTCCCTCCTAGATTGTAAGCTCCAAGGATCAGGGCCCTCAAACCCCTCGTGTATTGAATTGTATTGTTGCTGTATTGTCTCCCATTATAATGTACAGAGCTGAGCAAACTGTTGGCACTATATCAATCCTGTATAATAATATAAAATGAACATAAATGACCACCACCGACACAAAGTGCCAAAAAGTAAAAAAAGTTCTGATTTAAACCACAGATCTATAAAGATTATTAGATCAAAATATCCTGCGCTCTCTCTTTTCCGGTTTCTGCTTGTCACTAGTCCAACTAGCACTGGGCCATTTTGTACAGTGACCACAAGGACTTGTTTTGGCCAAAAAAACAAAAAAAAAAAAAAAAAAAAAACACCATAACATACATTAACCCATACATTACCCCCCCCCCCCCCACCCCCCCCCCCCCCCCCCATACATGCACTGAAATACTACGCAGTCCATCGCAGCTCCCTGCAGTACCGGCTTCTAATTAAACATAAATTCCCATCGCCACAGGGTCTGCAGTGCCAAATCAATCAATACATTGATAAGCCTTCCAACATGCTGGTATACACGCAGAGAGAGGTCTGAACGCAGAGCAAATGCTAATTCCAGCTGGGGTAATGTCATTAGGATCAGGAGAGGGGGCACACCCACGACAGCCCACATCTCTCAGTAACATGATTCCAACTGACTGAAATCTGGTGTCTATGGGTCATGCATTTACGCACGGCCTTAGTTGTTAAACCTTGCAGCGTCATCCTTACCCCAAATGTACTGATAGTAAAATAACTGTCTCTGATGAACACAACTGTGTGAACGCAAGGATGTCAGAATCCATTAATAGTTCAAAAATGGGAAAGCACTGGTTACAGACATCCAGTACCATACGGATCATACTAGAGGACATGAACTACACCCCTACTACAAATACAACACGGTACTACATTCTGGTGAAGCATACAGTCGCAGGCAGCACATGGAATTCTACCACACAGCAGTAGTATTCTGTAGAGTCCAATCCATGGTTCCACCATGACCAATCCAAACCATGGGCTAGGGAAAGGGATATCCCCATTGCCTTCATTTCTGTGGATTCATCCACCTAAATGCCCACCCTCATCAACACTACTACCCCACCAACCTCGCTGATACATATCTAGGGCTTTGCAACCAGAAATTACACCTCTTTCCAACCCGGCCCAATGAGCCTAATCATGGAGAACCCAGAATTCCCCTCAGGGATGAACTGCAAAAGATTTTTACAATGGCAGGAATCTAGACGCTCTCCCATCCAACAAGCCATCAGATATAATGGAGTTAAGGACAATGGCGTCTCTATTTCCAACTCTGACATTTCTACGATAATGTTACAGGGACAGGCCAGCTTCATAGGGATCTGATCCCATTGCAGGACCCAAGCCTCTCCAAAAGTGCCACCATGCCATCTCTTCCCTCAGGGGCTTTCCCCAACCCAGTACGGGACAGGTTCATCCAGCACCCAGGGCAAGGAGGCAGAACTGCACCCCCTC